ACTTTATAGTGCCTTCCCAGTGTCCTTCTAAATAGGGGTCCTTAGTGGTAGAAATGGCTGGCATACTCAGCAGGAAATTTACAAGTTGACGATTTGAATCCAACCAGAGGTACCTAGGAAGAAAGGCCTGGCGATGCACTTCTAAGAAAAGAGTGACTGAAAGCCCAGTGGTGCGTGTGCACATAGGGACCAGGAGTCAGGGTCGATTTCACCGGCGTGGGAACGTCACACAGGGAACCGTGGTGTGGATGCTGAAGAACTATATTGCTGACAGCTGAGGGGGTTTCAAAATGTTTGTGGGGATAATTCCATGATCTTTTAATTCCATTTTCGTACAAACTTTTTAAAGCTGCCTTATATAGGAAAGCAGAGCCGGGCCAGTCTTGGTGAAGGAAGGATCCAGAACAACTTCACGAGAGTTACAGCGTAGGGCCACCTAGTTGGAGGTGACCTCAAGAAACGCGTAATTAATGTTTATCCATGAGCCTTCCTCATAAAACCTGGCGGAGCTTGAGTAGAAAATAGACATCCAGAGTGGTTTCGGTTTGCATCTGTGTAAGCAAGTCTCCCCATACCACGGTGTGTCTCAAAGTCACATCAACCACCATCTGAGGTGGCTTCAAAAAGTACACGGACAAGTGTAATTAAATGATCATAGTAGACTTTTCTCAAGATCTTTTTGAAGCCCCACTGTATATCCCAAACTGAACAAATATACTTCCCTTCCTCATCTGGACTTTTTTCTGTATTCTATATTAGGAGGTACCAGTCCCTGGAGAAGGATGTCATGCTCGGTTATGTGGAGGGTCAGAGAAAAAGAGGAAGGCCCCCAATGAGATGGATTGGCACAGGGGCAGCGGCAGTGGGTTCAAGTGTAGCAATGATTGTGAGGTTGTCGCACGACCGGGTTGTGTTTTGTTGTGTTGGGCATAGGGTCATCTGTGAGTCAGAACGAACTCAACTTCATGTAACAACCGCATTAGGTATTGAAGGTGCTATTGATTTACCATTAGAAATAATCATGATCAAACACACAAACACACAGAAAACAACAACACACGTTTTGCTGTAGGATATCAAATATAACATAGGTCTGATGCTTTTCTGTGGGCTTATTATTTATTTCAGCAGCTCTGGAATACAGGGTTTATGTTGCTAGAACAATTAGCCTGAGACTTTTTGTTGGAAGTCTATCATGAGACCTCTCTTGGCTAGGTACATGTTGCCCTCGAGTGGGCTCCAATTTGTGGCAACTTTTTGCAAAACAGAGAGAAATGTTGCCCTATCCTGCCCCAATCTCACCATTCCATCTTTCCTCCTTTTCACCTGCTTTCTGCCAAACGTGACTCATTTTCTAATCATGGCCGATTCCTGACAATGTGAACATCTCGAGCCAGCAACTGTCCTGCACTGAGGAAAACATTTGCTTTGTACCTGAATTTAGTTTTCCTTCTCATCCTCAGGTAAAATCACAAGAAGCCATGAAGCATCCATGCCATGAATGGTAAGCAGACAAACTCATGAACTTTCATAATTACCTGTAGGTTCAGAGAAGGGTTCTTACCTGTTTTCTCCATCTCTGCTAATTAAATGTAAAAAGTAAGCAAACACACAACTTCCACGTGACCAGATTATCAATCTTTCCTTATAACTTGTGTTTCATCTGCTTTGGAAATTTCATTAACCCCACAATTTTCATGTCCTCTCTCTGAATCAGGATTTTGATCATTAAACTAACTTTACCTATCTGGAGAATGACTTTCGTTTTTGCTGTCCTATGGAGGAGCTCTGGTAGCGTAGTGGTTACGAATCGGGCTGCGAACCTTAAGGTCAGCAGTTGGAAACTATCAGCTGCTCCGAGGGAGAAAGATGAGGCTTTCTACTCCTGTAAAGATTTACAGCCTCGGAAACCCTGTACAGGGTCGCTATGGGTCGGAACCGACTCGACGGCACTTAATAACAACATGGGTTGTGCTTACTATGGATACAACAACTTTCTTTGGATTATAATTTGTGCACAGTAGCATTCTACATCTTTTTTGTTGTCAGGCTTCCTCTGGCATTAGATTTTAGGTGTCCTCTTTGCCAAAAAAGCAGGTGGTGGGTTTGAAAATTTCAATCTGAGACTTTCTTCCTTTTTATAATGAAACAAGTCCACCCACATTTATTGCAAATATAGACATACTGAAGTTATGAGTCAATTCGGACTCACTGCGACCCTATAGGACACAGCAGAACTGTCCCATTGGGCTTCAAAGACCAAATCTTTATGGAAACAAATGACCCAGCCTTCTGCCCACTGAGAGCTCGGTGTGTTTGTACTGCCAACTGTTTGGTTAGCACATAAGTACTTAAGCATTGCATTACCGTGGGTTCTATCCAATATTGTTGCATTGTTGAGTGCTGTGGAGTTGGTTCTGACCCATAGAGTTTCCGAGGAGCGGCTGGTGAGCTTGACATTGTGGTTTGTGGTTCAAACGGACGTTGTGGTCCAGTGCATTAACCCATAGTGCCAAATTTATTTCTACCTATCTAACTTTTTTTTTTTTACTCTTTCAGTCTTTTATGGGCTATATTGAAGTTTCAAAGAATTTTCTTCCCCCTTTCTCCAAATGATTTGGAAGCCATATTTCTGTTTTTAATTGTGTGTTTGACCTTAATTATTTAAAACATGATTTTAGTTTATCAAAAGACGAGGCTTTGTCAATATCTTTACTCTCTAGAACAAACCAAAGAAAATAACATATTTTAACTCCAGACTTCTCTTTCACATCCTCCCTGCAATATTACCCGGAGAATTGAATTTGCATCCTCTCTTCAAATTGTTACTGCATTTTCAACATTTTTCTGTCAAAACATATTTTGCTGTATCGACATGCTTTTTCTCTTTTAGGCCCACTTGCCTTGTGGGATAAGTTTACATTTTGCTGAAAAAAGAAATTACTTAATAGTTGTTTCACCAAATGCTTTCTTTGGCTTATGCATATTCCAAAATGCTTGTAATTTCTTCTCATCGTTTTGTTTTTAAACTTTTTATTGTGATTTAGCTGAAAGTTAACAGAGCAAATTGGGTTTCCATTCAAGAACTCATATACCATCTCTTCTCATTCTTAGATGATGATCCTTTGCCCTAAGTCATGGTTGTAGAGTCTGCCTACTCACAACAACCTACACGACAGGAACAGACCTGTTCCTTAGGGTTTCCAACACATATAGGGAGAGCTTTAAGGAAGCACACTGCCTCATCTTTCTCCAGGGGAGCATATGGTAGGTTTAAACTGCCGAGCTTGTAGTTTTCAGTCCAGTGCTGATCCTACAGCATTACACCAGAAGAATGCTGTAGTTAAGTACCGTCAAACTGGTTCTGACCCATAGTGATTCTATACTGAGTTTCCGAGGAGCAGCTGGTGAGCTTGAAGCGCCGAACTTGCAGTTCAAACGACTTTGCAGTCTGGCGCATTAACCCACAGTGCCACACTAGGACTCCATAAGCAGAAAAAAACTGAGGAGAAAATCGCTGGACTGTTAACTGCAAGGTCGGCAGTTCAAATCCACTAGCCGCTCCTGGGAAACCCTGTACAGGGTTGCTATGAGTCTAGGCTGGCTTGACAGTACTCAAGCCCAACCATAACATACATATATGTCTATGGACTCCTGGTGTGGCACTTTAGGGTAAGCCTGAAGTGCTAACCATGTGGTCAGCAGTTCAAACTCACCAGCCTCTCCTCGGAAGCCATATGCAGGGTCACTAGGAGTTGGCAACAAATCAATGAGATGGCACTTAGCAACAACAACAACAACAACAACAACAACAAATTCTGAAAAGAGCCCTCTCTGGCTTTCAGCTGGTTTCCGATTTAAGGCAAACCTGCGGTTGCATTTAGACAACCACCTCTATCTTTGTTGTGTTGTGTTTTCAAGAACTAGAATAGAAAACCAAACACGTATGTCTGTCTTCAATTCTGGAAAATTCCCAGCCAGGAAAAAGGTGACTATATCCTCTCCTCACCCATGCTAATATAAACCAGTAACTCTTTGCTGGCATGTTGATTCTGACTTATAGGAACTTTATAGCAAAGACCGTAGCTGCCCCCATAGGGTTTCTGAGGCTGTAAATCTTTACGGGAGCAGACTGCCTCATCTTTCTCCAGTGGGGCAGCGGGTGGGTTAGAACCACTGACCTTGCAGTTAGCAGGCCATCACTTAGCCTATGGGTTCACTAGAACTCTTTGGTAATATTTTGTTGTTTGGTGCCGTTGAGTTGGTTCTGACTCATAGCGACCCCGTGCACAACACAATGAAATGCTGACAGGTCTTGTGTACTGTGAGTATTCACAATTTCATCTTGCTGGGGGGGGTGGTGCGTTCTTTTCTCATGCTTGGTGACCCTAATATTATCATTGTTGTTGATGTTAAGTGCTGTGCAGTTTGTTCCGACTCGTAGTGACCCTGTATAGGGTTTCCTAGGAGCGGCTGGTGGGTTTGAATCTCCGATTTTGTGATTGTTGTTGTTGTTATGTGCCATCGAGTTGGTTTTAACTCACACAGATGCTGTATAGGGTTTCTGGTGAGCTTGAACCACCGACCTTGTGGTTCAACTTTGCAGTCCAACACATTAACCCACAGCACCGCATCTGGACTCTGACTTTGTGGTTAATACTCTGGTAGCATAGTGGTTCCGAATCGGGCTGCGAACTGCAAAGTCAGCAGTTCAAAACTACCAGCTGTTCCGCAGGAGAAAGATGAGGCTTTCTGCTCCCGTAAAGATTTACAGCCTTAGAAACCCTGTACAGGGTCGCTATGGGTCGGAACCTACTCCACGGCACCTAACCCCCACCAGCACTCCAGCACTGATCGTACTGGACCACACCATGGCTCTGCACCTAATACACCCACCCTTAAATCTCTGGAGAGTGACATAGTCTAAAACCAGAGCTCTCATCTACTTCCAGAACTTTCTCGCTCCAAAAGGAACCTGATTGCACATCATGGGACTAATCATGATCAGTGATGAGGAATATCATGACCTTAAGGAGCTCTGGTAGCGTAGTGGTTACGACTCGGGCTGTGAACCGCAAGGTCAGCAGTTCGAAACTACCAGCTGCTCCGCGGGAGAAAGATGAGGCTTTCTACTCCCGTAAAGATTTACACCCTCGGAAACCCTGTACAGGGTCGCTATGAGTCGGTTCCGACTCCACGGCACATAACAACAATGGAGTCTCCCAGGGGAAGTGCTCAACTGTTAGCTGAAAAGTTGGCGCTTCAAACCACCTCCGAGGTGGTTCAGAGTAAGAACGGGAGATCCGCCTCTGACAATTCACAGCCTTGAAACCCTATTGGATCAGTTCTACTGAAGGGTTTGTCCTGAGTCAGAATTAAGTGAACAGCAACATTGTTAGCTTCTTGTCCTTGGGTTTCGTGGTGTTTAGGCTTCTCCTTCTTCCAATTGTGTTTATTTTGCTGTTGTTATGAGTATAAACAGCACGACACGCATACATTCAACAATTTCTATGAGTAAAATTCAATTCCATTGATTACATTCTTTGAATTGTGCAAATTTTGTAACCCTCATTTTCCAAGTTGATCCTCCTGCATTTTCAATAAGCGTGTCATCCCCTCAAGTTACCTATATGAATTTTTGAATGCCTGTTGTCAGTTTGATCTCATTTACATAGCTTTTAAAAAGAGGATGATTCTCAGGGCAGAGTTTTTGGCAAGTTAAGTTAAACTGCTGCTCCGTTTAAAGAGAATGTCAGTGGATATTTTAGGCTGAAGGTTTAAAGATTATCTCAGGGCATAGTTTTCGGCATTCATCCAGAAAGTCTACAGTCTGTGAGAAACTGATATTCTGTTCTGCATTTCCCCTCTTTTGATAAGGATTCTTCTATAGATTTTTTTTTTTAAAAGCTTTTATTGTGAATCGAGTGAAACTTTATAGGGCAGATCATCGGTTTTACATTCAACTTATCATTGTGATGATTACAATCCCTCCATGCACCCTTCTTGTTGTTCAGTGCCGTCGAGTCAATTCTGACCCTTAGCGACCCTGTACAGGGTTTCCAAGGAGCAGCTGGTGAGCTTGAACCACTCACCTTGCAGTTTAGATGACTTTGCAGTCTGACACATTAGCCCACAGCGCCACACCAGGACTCCCCATACACCCTTAGTCAACAGTATTGACCACTATTACCTTTTTTTTTGGGATACATACACATTGGAAATATATGTTCATTTAAATGTTCAAAGGGCACATTTTGCAAGCCGGTCTCCTGTCCTTCCTCAGTCCATGGTCCTATAATCCTCTGCTGCTCAGTCTCTCCATGCCTTTGCCCCACAACCATCTCTGTTAACGCCCCTTTTCTGATTAGGATCCTTCACTCGTCTCATGCTCTTCCTTCTTGATGGCACTCAGGTTTCCTCATGCTTCAAGCTGTCTAGAATGCAAACAGTAATGGAAAACTTCTGTTTTTGTTTGTCTCTCTCCCCCCAAATACTTTCCAGGAACTGCTGGCTGGCAATCTGGCTGTGGTGTTTGTTGGGAAGTGTGCTCGGTGCAGTTGTTACCAGGGGTTCTAGACCCAATATTGTCCTGTTGATGGCAGATGACCTCGGGGTGGGAGATTTATGCTGCTATGGTAATAACTCAGTGAGGTAAACATGGGCCCTGTCTGCATATCATAGGGTGTCTTGTCACAACGTCCCCACCTCTGACCATTGTGAAATCAATTAGGGTTGTAGTCTGGGTTCTCCAGAGGGACAGGATTGATGAAGTATACAGAGAGTTAGTCAAGGAAATCCTTTTCAGGAACATGTAGTCCACCCCCCAATCTCGGTTCTGGAGGTCACGTGGCAAGCTGGAGACCTCTGCTGGTTTACTGGATTTTGGAAGCTGGTAAATGCAAAATATGCAGGCCAGAGATTCATACCATCTTAAGTCCCAAGAACTAGGGGTCAGGGATGAAGAAGAGTTCAGGAAGTAGTAAAAAAAAGGAGAAATTGAGAGAAAATGCAAGTAAAATCAGTGTATGTATACTGAAGGAAGACCCCAGACCCAAAGAAATTCCACTTTCTGCCGGTGTTCTACTCGCCTCGTATCCAGAAAGGTGATTGCATTCCATGACTGAACGTGATTGTCTTACATTATACGATGTTATGGAAGGGGTCTCGTTGGATCCTGGAGAGTGATCATGTTACATTCCATTCCATTGTGGAATCTGCCTACATTGTGTTACATCAAGTAAGGGGATTACACTGTAATAGTATAGTATTATAGTACAATACTAAGGTGCACTTGCCCCAAGCCCTGGTATTTTCAATAACCACATACGCATATGCAAACTGGACAGTGAATAAGGAAGACCATAGAAGAATTGATGCCTTTGAGTTACAGTGTTGGAGGAGAATATTGAAAGTACCATGGTCTGCCAAAAGAACAAACAGATCTGTGTTGGAAGAAGTGCAGCCAGAGTGCTCCTTGGAGTCCAAGATGGCCAGATTCCTTCTCTCATCCTTTGGACCTATTGTCAGGAAGGACCAGTCGCTGGAGAAGGATGTCATGTTTGGTCAAGTGGAGGGTCAGAGAAAAAGAGGAAGACCCCCAATGGATGGACTGGCGCAGTAACAACAGCAAATGGCTCAAATGGAGCAACAATTGTGAGGTTGGTTGCAGGATCCGACAGTGTTTCGTTCTGTTGTGCGTCGGGTTACTGTGAGTCGGCACCAAACAGCAGCAGTAACATTATATCACAGAAGAGCACTGAACCCAGCAATGGCCAGAGCACCGAGAACCGCGGCCTAGCTCAGGTGCCACGAAGCATTAATTCAGTCACCACCATTAGGTATCCACATAAGCTGTGCGGCCAGCCTGGGAAAACAGAAAAATATCAGAAGGTCACTTAGCATCATCCAGGGTTGCTGAGCCCAGAGTCACTTATTCAAGTAAAACTCACCATTTTCAAGTGTACAATTCAGTGGCAGTCACTACATTTACTTGTGAAAGCAGAACCTCCCCCTAGTTACAGAATGTTGTCACCCCAAAAGGAGACCTCAGAGCCCTTAGCAGACACACACAGCTCCTTCCCAATTTCCTAAAGCACTAGGCAACCACTAAATTGCTTTCTGTCTTTCTGTGGATTTGTTAGTTCTGGATATTTTATTAAAATAGTGTCTTGGCGCTCTAGTGCTGCTAAAAACACCAAAAGGGAGGTACTGTAACAAACAGAAATTTGTGTTTTAACAGTTTAGGAGGCTAGAAATCTGGAATCAGGGCATCAGATCTAGGGGGAGGATCTCTTTTTCTGTCAGCTCTGAGGGAAGGTCCCTGCCTCTTTTAGCTTTTGTTCCCTTGGCTGCTTGGTGATCTTGCTGTCACTTGACGATTATTTAATGATGTAATCACCCTCCATTTTGTGATACAATGTAACTACCTTCCATTCTGCAATACAACTTAACCATCCTCGATTCTGTGATACAACGTAGCCACCCTCAATTCTGTGACATAAGGTACTCACCCTCGATTCTGTGATACAACGTAACCATCCTTGATTCTGTGATAAAATGTCACCACCCTCGATTCTGTGATAAAACGTCACCACCCTTGATTCTACAAGACAACATACTAACAACCTAGCCTTTGGGACCTAATAATTTTTATTCACGTATTGAGTTCCACTCTGTTTTCTATCTGAATGTAGGGAAGTAGAAAGATTGACGTTTGGAAAGGGTGTATTTTAGATTTAGGGGGCCCAGAGTCACCTCATCCCAAGACAGAAGGGCTTTGAATCTAGTTGGCCTTGCTGGGAATGGGAATCGGCCCCATTCATTGTCCCTTCTCTCCGCAGCACGCCTAATATCGACCGCCTAGCGAGCGAAGGAGTGAGGCTAACTCAGCACCTGGCCGCCGCATCTGTCTGCAGCCCCAGTAGGGCCGCCTTCCTGACCGGCCGCTACCCCATCCGATCAGGTGTGCGGAAGGGACCAAACAGCAACAGCCCACCAACGAAAGGACTTTCCTGGGATTGCTCTTTGCAATTCTCAAGAACTCTTAAAAGGTTGTTCAAAGTACAGCGACACCCGATCGAGCTGGAACCGCATGGGAATGCATTGTGTAGCAGGTCTTTTGAGTTGGTGCAGAATTAGAGCTTTTCTCCCGAATGTTTGAGCAGGAAACACTTGCGTTTTCCTGCTCTGACAGCTTCCGCCTTCCATAGGCTCTGTCTTTTGCAGGTCTTTACTACACCGCAAATCCCAATCCCAAAGGGGGTATCGCGACACCTGGATTGCTTAAACAGGTGTGTCTCTATCCAGGTGTGGTAGTCACTCACCTGTGGGCATAGAGAGATGAGGTTCAGGTCTGGGAACTGATGTCCCCCCAGTAGACACCATAGCATTTTGGGATTTGCTTGGAAAACCAGAAGTTGCGGCCCAGAAGCAAGGGTGGCTAAGAAAATAGCAAGAAAACGAGAGTTGGCACTTATTTCCTTCAGGTGCCTCGGAGGCACAAGCGACTTAGACTCAACTGCTAACCTAAAGGTCGATGGTTCAAATACATCCGGAAGAACCATGAAAGAAAGGCCTGCCTGTCAGCTTCTGTAAAGACGATAGCTAAGAAACCCCCACACTATACCCTGTAATGCAGGGCGGCACTGTGAGTCAGAAGTAACTCGGTGGCAATGGACAACAACACAGATTCTGTTACACACACACACACACACACACACACACACATACAATATCAAAATTTACGTTTTCCTTGTTGAGTATGCAATTCTGCTGTGGTGCTGTAGGATAAGCACTGGAGTGTCACACACAAAGTTCAAAACCCACCAGCCGCTCCTCCGATGACCTGTATTGTTGTTGTTTGTCGAGGGCTATAGAGCTGGTTCCAACCCAATTAATAGATCTTAATTGTGTTAACTCATTCTGTTGTGCCTAGGGTCGCTATGAGTCAGTACTGACTCGATGACGCCTAACAACAACAACAATTGCATTCAAACCATGTTGTGGTTGTTGTTAAGTGCCATCAAGTCAGTTCCAACCCATCGCAACCCTGTATAGGGTTTCCAAGGAGCAGCTGGTGAGCTTGAACCATCAACCTTGCAGTTCAAACGGCTTTGCAGTCTGACGCATTAACCCACAGTGCCACACCAGAACTTCAAAAAGGTTGGAAAATTGGGATCAATACATAATGGAATTTTCTTATGAACTTTTGGAAGCCCCTTATAATTTATTTGACAGATGAGTAAATTCCAAATATTGTATGAATTTTTGCAGGGGCAGAAAACCTCATTTTCTTCCCTTGTCACGTATTAATAGCATATATTGTACGGTAAATATATTAGATATGCATTATTTGTCACATAGTTACATATTATTAACATATGAGAGTGACCTGCCATAATGTTTAGTAAACACATATGCTAACCATGTATACATGAGATTTAGCATATGAGCACACATTAACAACACATGTGTTACCTGCCACATGCTTACATATTAACAACATATATATGTGCTATCCGCAGTTCTGATGTGGTGCTGTGGGTTAATGTACCAGACTGCAAAGCCATTTGAACTACAAGGTTGGTGGTTCAAGCTCACCAGGTGCTCCTCGGAAACCCATACAGGGTCGCTAAGGGTCGGAACCAACTTGATGGCACTTCACAACAACAACAACATGTGTTATTGGCATATGTTTGCGTATTCATGACAGATTGTGTTATTTGGCACAAATGGGTTTATTTAACTCTTCCTGCCTGGAGTTCTGGTGTGGCACTGTGGGATAAAGCATTGGGCCTTAAGTTCGCTTTGAACCACAAGGTCAGAGGTTCAAACCCACCAGCTGCTCCTCCGAAACCCTATCGTTGTTGTTGTTAAGTGTTATCGAGTCAGTTCTGACTCATATCGACCCTGTATAGGGTTTCCAAAGAGCGGCTGGTGAGCTTGAACTGCCGACCTCGAGGTTCAAACTGAATTTTCAGTCCAGTGCATTAAGCCACAGAGCCACCCTAGAACTTCCAGGAAGTCTCTATATATGAGTCAGAACCAACTCGATGACACCTAACAACAATGAAGGAGCTCCTTTAGCTTAAAGACCTTTGCAGCTGCAGAAATCCTATACTGGATCACTGTGAATCAGAAGTGACTCAACAGCGCTAAGCATTCCATTCACTAAAAATATCTTTATAAACAGTTAAAAAAAATTTTTTTTAAAAACAGTGAAACAAAGATTCTTTTGAAAAGAGTAAAATAACAAAAATGTACACATAGAGAACCTATCTGGTTGGAAATGGATTCACTTGTAGTGACTTTTTTGTTTTGTTTTAACTTACTATCAAAAGTATGTTGTTGTTGTTGTTGTGAAGTGCCATTGAGTTGGTTCCGATCCATAGCGACGCTGTATAGGGTTTCCAAGGAGCAGCTGGTGAGCTTGAACTGTTGACCTTGCAGTTCAAACAGCTTAGCAGTCTGGTGCATTAACCCACAGCACCACACCAGGATACCATTAAAAATATACTATGGTATTAACTTCTTGTCTTCTTGCAAATTTAGGAATGGCTTCGCCCTATAACCTGAACCGGGTTATCACTTGGCTCGGTGGCTCGGGAGGTCTCCCAACCAATGAGACTACATTTGCCAAATTGCTACAACTTCGGGGCTACCGCACCGGATTGATAGGTACAGTACGTGGGACTCGGGGCACCTGGGAACGTGGTGATAATTCCACGTGTTTCCCCTGGGGACTCAGCATTTCCAGGGAAGCTGGCTGAATACAGGCCGTTGACTTATCTTTGAGATTAATACCATACAGTCATATTAAGTATGAAAGACGCACACGGAGCAAATGCAGAGAGAGGGAAAGTGGACTTGGGCTTGCCCAGAGTTTGCACTGACTCCGTGGGAGCAACAATGAACTCAAACCGAACAATGATAGTGAGGATGGCCCAGGACTCGGCTGGGTTTCATTGTACAAGTGGTTGCTATGAGTTGAAGCTGACTCAACCACACTTTACAAGCACAAACAGAGCTTGCTAAAGGAGCCCTGAGGGTCCAATTGGAAGGTCAGTGGTTTGAACCCACCTATGGCACTCTTTCTGAGAAGCTCACAGCCTGGAAAATACATCCCAGGACACAGCAAACAAGAGAGCTCTCGGTAGGACAAATAGAGAGAAACTGCCTATTTGGTAGGAAAATGATTAAAAGGGCAAAATTTGTGTTATGCATAATTAATCAGAATACCCATTACTGTCCTGCGGGAATCGATTCCACTTTTACCGCTTGACACAGTCCCGGTGAAAGGAGAAACATCACAAAAAGCAAATGATTCTCTGGAAAGGCATCCTCTATCTCCCCTTTAGGATAACTCTGAATTCACTTGTAAAAATATATGATATGGCCATATTCATGGCTTTTACCATGAGCTCTGCAGAGCTTAGGAAGAAACCGGTCTGGCAACAATTGTTTCAGCTTCATTGGGTTGAATTCAAAGGGAATTGTATGAGCTACTCCCTCTCACAGAAAACGTAAGAACACAGCAACTGCATTTATGAGATCACAAAAGCAGATAACAAACTAAAATAAAGCTGACCGACCCCTATAGACCTCACCTCAATCAATTACCAGTCAGAATTCACAAACCCCCATGATTACATACAGGCACCTACGTAAATAGGCAGAGAATAGCGAACATAAGTAAAAGGTGGTCAAAACTTAATAATCTACATTACCTGCAGCAATTAGCCAGGTTGGGCCTTATATGCCTCACAGCCTCAAAAGAAAGAAACATAGGAACGCTGTGGTTAAGCAATTTAATGAATACTTTAGAAAAACAAAATAATTAAGTAGATGTTAGTAATGTTTTTACTATAAAAAATTTTAGTACATTATGTAATATAGAAGATTGATAATTAGTAGAAACAATAAAGTAGTGTAGGCATTGATGATTAATAGAAACATATTACTAAGAGGATATAATCAGGGGTCTGATAAGTGGAAATGATTTGTGTAAGGTTTAACTTGATCTTTTAGTGGGAATAAGAAGAAACAATTAATCACTTACGTAGGAGAGGAGATGATGTCAAAAGAAAAATGCTTAATGGTTAGAAAATGAACAGGATATTGGACAGGTCAGGTTGGACATCATAGAAATCCTTTTGTTAAGGTTGTATAATCACAGGGTGAAGGAATGTTATGATTAAAACTGTGTAATAATTCAAGGGAAAATCCATAAAAGCAGTGAATATGGCCATATCATATATTTTTACAAGTGAATTCAGAGTTATCCTAAAGGGGAGATAGAGGATGCCTTTCCAGAGAATCATTTGCTTAGCATGATGTTTCTCCTTTCTCCGGGACTGTGTCAAGCGGCGAAAGTGGAATCGCTTCCCGCACTGTCCAGTCTACTCCAAACTCACAGAAACTCCACAGGACAGAGAAGACCTGCGCCATAGAGGTGCTAAGGCAGGAATTCTTGATGGGAACAGTCTGCCCCACCTTTGTCTCTGGAAGGCGCTGTTTGGGTTCTGAACGCTGACCCTCTGGTTAGCACCCAAGCACTTTGGTCACCGCAACATTGGGGTTGGGGTTGGTTTTCCCTAAGTACTGTAATAACAAGAAAAAGGACGTTTCCAGGATGGGGTGGGAGATGGGGTGAATGAACATGACATTTAATGCTACAAAGTAAAGTCTTCATTAGTGAAATGTGTTCCTGAGATTTTTTATGCCACATTATTCTATTTATGTCATATTATTTTATTCCTGTTATGGCAATCATTTTATTCAAGTTGTGTTCATTCATTTATGCCACACTTTCATCTAATGCGTGTTATGCGAATAGATTCTATTTGTCATGTTATTTTATTTATGCCATTTAGGTTATGTTATGGAGTCCTGGTGTGGTGGTGTAGGAGCAGCACTGGACTCCTAACCACAAGGTTGGCAGTTCAAATCCACCAGGTGCTGCTTGGAAACTCTATACAGTAGGGATGGGGAACCTATTTTCTTCGAAGGGCCATTTGGAGATTTATAATATCACTTACTATAAATTTATCAAAAAAGCTGGTAGGTGTGTCGAATTTGGAGTCCCGTCTGCAATTGCCTTGGCAGGGCCAGACCACAATATTTAGCGTGCTTATAGGGCCGGACATTCTCCACCCCTGCTGTATAAGGTCGCTAGGAGTTGGAACTGACTTGGGGTCTTTTCACAACAATTATTTTATTTTCATATTATGTTATTTTATTTTATTTATGTAGTGTTATTTCATTTATGCAACGTTAATTTGCTGTATTTTGTTATGTTGATTACTTAATTTTATTTGGTGTTGTTGTTGTTATGTGCTGTGGAGTCGGTTCCGACTCACAGCGACCCTGTACAGGGTTTCTGAGGCTGTAAATCTTTACGGGAGTCTCATCTTTAACCTGCGGGACAGCTGGTAGTTTCGAACTGCTGACCTTGCGGTTCGCAGCCCTATTCTAACCACAACGCCATGTTACTTTTTTTTGTATTTGTTATTTTCATCTACTCAATTGTATTTATGCTGTGTTAGTTTACCTTATTTTATTTATGTCATGGTTTTTCATTTTGCTATGCTACTTGTTTTATTTCATTTTGGATGCTAATTCTTTAATTTTATTTGTACCACATTAATTACTTTTATTCCTGCTATGTCAGCTAGCTAATTTTATTTGCCATTGGTTATTTTATTTCATTTATGTCACATTAACTTATTTTATATATGTGTTGTTGTTATTGTTAAGCAACCTGAGTCTGTTCCGACTCATGGAGACCCTGCATAGGGTTTTCGAGGCTGCAAATCTATATGGGAACAGAAAGCTTCATCTTTCTCCCACGGAACCACTGATAGATTCAAACTGCTGACCTTGAGATTAACAACGCCACTTGTAACCACTACACTACCAACCTTTATTCTGCCAAAATTTGCAATTACATTCTCGGGCCATGCACAATTATTAACTTAAAAATTAGGAGCTCTGGTAGCGTAGTGGCTACGAATCGGGCTGCGAACCTTAAGGTCAGCGGTTTGAAACTACCAGCCGCTCCGCAGGAGAAAGATGAGGCTTTCTACTCCCGTAAAGATTTACACTCTCGGAAACCCTGTACAGGGTCGCTATGGGTTGGAACCGACTCGATGGCACTTAACAACAACAACATACTTGTCCAAACATTTAATTAACTTCTGGTGTGGCTCTGTAGGCTCAACACTGGGGTGCAAATTACAAACAAGATCGGCAGTTCAAACCCACCAGCTGCTCCTTGGAAACCCTGTACAGGGTCGCTGTGAGTCGGAAATGACTCAATGGCACTTCACAAGAATGAGAACAATGCGATGGCTGGAATTGCGTTTGGTTTGGCAGGACGAGACCAAATGATTTTTCGGGACTTCTATAGCCCGCGGGCTGGACTCTCCCCATCCCTGCTGCATAGAGTTTCCAAGGAGCGGCTGGTGGTTTTGAACCGCCAACCTTGCGGTGAGCAGTACGATGATGCTCCAGTGCACACCAGCAGCGCCTTTTACATATGTTACATATGTTCTGTATACACATTACATGAACTTTTGTATTCACGTGATGCTCACTCGTGTTAACTGTGTTCCAAGCGTCCTTTCATTTGATTTGCTCTCTCGTCCTGCCATCTGATTTGCTCTCGCGTCCTGCCATCTGATTTGCTC